TTTTCGTTCATTTGGCCAAAAATGGATTTTGTTCAAAATTTCAGTATAGGTACTCCTGAATGTGCTGTAAGGATCTGTTAACCAAAAATTTGATATCTTGATTATAACTTGTTCAAATGGCTTTTAGAAAATGTTCAAATGATTTTTAGAATATTTTAATTACTTTGCAATGCTAATTACTCGCCACTTATGGGTTTTCGAGGTCATTTCTTGGTGCTTGTGTATTATTCTGATGTACTTAAATAGTTAGGCACATTAAATTTTAGTTCAGAGAGAAAAAGTATTTTTGGCCAAAAATCCTTTAAGGCTATAGACTTACAATTTTCGTCATTTCGGCCAAAAAATGGATTTGTTCAAAATTTCAGTATAGGTATCCTGAATGTGCTGCTTAAGGATCTGTTAACCAAAATTTGATATCTTGATTATAACTTGTTCAAATGGCTTTTAGAAAATGTTCAAATGATTTTAGAATATTTTAATTACTTTTGCAATGCTAATTACTCGCCACTTATGGGTTTTCGAGGTCATTTCTTGGTGCTTGTGTATTATTCTGATGTACTTAAATAGTTAGGCACATTAAATTTTAGTTCAGAGAGAAAACGTATTTTTGGCAAAAACTTTAAGGCTATAGACTTACAATTTTCGTCATTTCGGCCAAAATGGATTTTGTTCAAAATTTCAGTATAGGTACTCCTGAATGTGCTGCTTAAGATCTGTTAACCAAAATTTTATATCTTGATTATAACTTGTTCAAATGGCTTTAGAAAATGTTCAAATGATTTTTAGAATATTTTAATTACTTTTGCAATGCTAATTACTCGCCACTTGTGGGTTTTCGAGGTCATTTCTTGGTGCTTGTGTATTATTCTGGATGTACTTAAATAGTTAGCACATTAAATTTTAGTTCAGAGAGAAAATGTATTTTTGGCCAAAAATCCTTTAAGGCTTTAGACTTACAATTTTCTTCATTTCGGCCAAAAATGGATTTTGTCTAAAATTTCAGTATAGGTACTCCTGAATGTGCTGCTTAGGATCTGTTAACCAAAATTTGATATCTTGATTATAACTTGTTCAAATGGCTTTTAGAAAATGTTCAAATGATTTTAGAATATTTTAATTACTTTTGCAATGCTAATTACTCGCCACTTATGGGTTTTCGAGGTCATTTCTTGGTGCTTGTGTATTATTCTGGATGTACTTAAATAGTTAGGCACATTAAATTTTAGTTCAGAGAAAAACGTATTTTTGGCCAAAATCCTTTAGGCTATAGACTTACAATTTTCGTCATTTCGGCCAAAAAATGGATTTGTTCAAAATTTCAGTATAGGTACTCGAATGTGCTGCTTAAGGATCTGTTAACCAAAATTTGATATCTTGATTATAACTTGTTCAAATGGCTTTTAGAAAATGTTCAAATGATTTTTAGAATATTTTAATTACTTTTGCAATGCTAATTACTCGCCACTTATGGGTTGAGGTCATTTCTTGGTGCTTGTGTATTATTCTGGATGTACTTAAATAGTTAGGCACATTAAATTTTAGTTCAGAGAGAAAACGTATTTTTGGCCAAAAATCCTTTAAGGCTTTAGACTTACAATTTTGTCATTTCGGCCAAAAATGGATTTTGTTCAAAATTTCAGTATAGGTACTCCTGAATGTGCTGCTATAGGATCTGTTAACCAAAATTTGATATCTTGATTATAACTTGTTCAAATGGCTTTTAGAAAATGTTCAAATGATTTTTAGAATATTTTAATTTTTTGCAATGCTAATTACTCGCCACTTATGGGTTTTCGAGGTCATTTCTGGTGCTTGTGTATTATTCTGATGTACTTAAATAGTTAGGCACATTAAATTTTAGTTCAGAGAGAAAAGTATTTTGGCCAAAAATCCTTTAGGCTTTAGACTAATTTTTCGTCATTTCGGCCAAAAATGGATTTTGTTCAAAATTTCAGTATAGGTACTCCTGAATGTGCTGCTTAGGATCTGTTAACCAAAATTTGATATCTTGATTATAACTTGTTCAAATGGCTTTTAGAAAATGTTCAAATGATTTTAGAATATTTTAATTACTTTTGCAATGCTAATTACTCGCCACTTATGGGTTTTGAGGTCATTTCTTGGTGCTTGTGTATTATTCTGATGTACTTAAATAGTTAGGCACATTAAATTTTAGTTCAGAGAGAAACGTATTTTGGCCAAAAATCCTTTAAGGCTTTAGACTTACAATTTTTCGTCATTTCGGCCAAAAAATGGATTTTGTTCAAAATTTCAGTATAGGTACTCCTGAATGTGCTGCTTAAGGATCTGTTAACCAAAATTTGATATCTTGATTATAACTTGTTCAAATGGCTTTTAGAAAATGTTCAAATGATTTTTAGAATATTTTAATTACTTTTGCAATGCTAATTACTCGCCACTTATGGGTTTTCGGAGGTCATTTCTTGGTGCTTGTGTATTATTCTGATGTACTTAAATAGTTAGGCACATTAAATTTTAGTTCAGAGAG